CCCCCTGGTTCTCGCCCTCGTGCCGGCCCACCTGGTGCTCGTTGCTCGGCCCCAGCCCCGGGGGCGGCGCCAGGCGGGCGGGCCTGGGTCGCCCCGCCTGGGTGAACCTGCTTAGGAGGGAGCCAGCCGCCAGGCGTGTGGGTGCGCGTGCGTATGGGAGTGTCACCGAGAGAGAGAGAGAGAGAGAGAGAGAGAGAGAGAGAGAGAGAGAAAGAGCCAAGGGGCGGGGTCTTTCACTCTAAGTTGTTGTATTAAAAATAATACCGTTGTGATCATGCTCTACCACTGGAACCCAACCTCAGAGCCAAATCCCGAGGAAAGGCCAAGCAGACCTGCTGGTCTTGGAAGTCAGGATCTTCCCAGAGCTTCTGAAGGAACCACACTCTTCCTTGCTCCCAAGTATGGATGGAGCCCTTCTATTGCGCCACCTGTCAGTGTGAGTTCTCCCGGTCCTTGTCTGGCTCTCTCCACTCATCAGGGACTCAGACTAAAGTGAGGTCCTCAGACAGGGAAGCTTTACTTTTCAGAGCTTCTCCTTCCTGCCTCCAGACTAGGTCCCCAGGCTGGTGGCTCAGTAACAGGACAGGAACCTGAAGGCAGGAACTGAAGGAGAGGCCATGGAGGAGTGCTGTTTACTGACTTTCTCAATCTGCTTTCTTATAGTACCCATGGCCACCACCCCAGGAGTGCCAGCACCCACAATGGGTTGGGACCTCCCACATCAATCAGTGCAAACTTGCCCACAGGCCAATCTGGGGTGGGGGGTATTTTCTCAATTGAGGTTCCCTATTCCAAATGACTCTAACCTGTGTCAAGTTGACATAAAAATTAGTCAGCACACCCTGGTGTCTTGAGGTCAAACATAGTCCTTGTGGTTGCAAGACAGTTCTTCAAAATTGACTGAGGCATTTCTCTCTTCATCTCTCTCTCTATGAGTGTTACACATAAACACAGCCACACTGTTTCTCTCTCTCTGAATGTTACACACAAACACAACCACACTGTTTCTCTCCATGTCTTTTTCCTTTCTTTCTCTGTCTCCACACACACACATACTCAGACACACAGACACACAGACACACCACGTGCATACACACACCACACACACACACACACTAAACACACACAGACACAGACATACACCACACATACCACACACACTATGCACACACACTACATACACACAGACACAGACACCACACCACACACACACACTATACACACAGAGACAGACACCACACACACACACACACACACACACACACACACTACACACACACACACACACACACACACATCACACCACACACACACTACACACACACAGACGCAGACACACCACACACACAGACACAGACACAGACACAGACACACACACACACACACACACACACACACACACACACCACACAGAGACTCTGTGTCTCTTTCTGTGTCACATATACACACACTGTCTTTCAGTGTCTCACAGGAGAGACACCATCTCTCTCTTCCTACCTCTGCCTCTGGTCACACTCACTGTGTGTTTCTCTGTGTTTCATGTATTCTGTCCCTGTGTCATACATACACTCTGCTTCTCCCTGTCTCTCTGTTTATGTCTCTGTCACATGCACAATCCTGTCTCTATGTCACACACACACACACACATATATGTCTCTGTTTCACAATATGCTCTTTGTCTATCTTTCTTTGTGTGCATCACACACACAATTCCTGTGTCTGTCTCTCTGTCTAACACACAAACATGCTGTCTTTCTCTGTGTTTCTTTCTGTTTGTCTGTCTGTCACACATACTGTTTGTCTCACACCCACACTTTCTGTCTCTCTGTGTCACACTCCATCTCTCTGAGTATATCACACACATACTGTCTCTGGTATACAACCTGTTTCTCTCTCTCTCTCTCTCTCTCTCTCTCTCTCTCTCTCTCTGTATCTTTCTCTCTCCTCGTCTGTGTCATACTCTCTGTCTTTCTGGGTCACACACACACACACATACTTTCTGTATCTCTACATCCCTTTTTCTTTCTTTTTCTAAAAGTTGGTTCTTTTTACTTTTTTTTTTTCCAGCACAGGGTTTCTCTGTTTAGCCCTGGCTGTCTTGGAACTCCCTCTGCAGGTCAGGCTGGCCTTGAACTCACAGAGACCCACCTGCTTCTGCCTCTTGAGTGCTGGGATTAAAAGTATGCACCACTACTGCCTGGCTTGTTGTTTTTAATTTTTGAGCTTATAATATAATTACATTTCTCCCTTCCTTTTCTCCCTCCAAAGCCTTCCATATACTCCTCAATGCTCTCTTTCAAATGAATGGCCTCTTTTTTTCATGAATTGCTATTGCATGCATAAATGAATACACACACACACACACACACACACACACACACACACACACACACACACACATATATATATTCCTAAATATAAACTACTTGGTCTATATAGTGTTACTTGTATGCCTGTTTTCAGGGCTGACTGGCCCTAAACAACCAAATGGTGTCTTCCCTGGGGACGACTGCCTGTCCTGCTTCCAGCATTTCTTAGTTGCCTATAGTTCTTGGTGTAGGGTTGAGGCCCGTGGGCTTTTCCCTATCAACTTTGGCATGCCCAGATTCCTCCACTCTTGGTCACTAGTTGCCTGCAGCTCTTCATCTAGTGATGTGACTTTGTGTGGTTTTACAACTAGTTGGCACCAACTAGTGTTGTGCAGGTCTTGTTGAATCTCATGCGAGCAGCTTCCCTGTCATATATAGAAGCCAGCACCTCACAGCAGAGGTCCTGGTCCTCTGGCTTTTACAGCCTTTTAGCTGCCTCCTCCACAACGTTCCCTGAGCCTTAGGTGTATAGGTTGCATTGTAGAGGGATTAATTTAGCCTGGGCATCCCATGCCAATTGTTCTCTGCATTTTGGCCAGTTATGGATTTCCGTAATGGTTTTCATCTGCTGCAAAAATAAGTTCTGTTGAGGCGTGAGAGGTTCATTTATCTTTGTGTATAAGGATGAACATTTAAAATGCAGTTAAAAATTATACCGGTTTAGGAAAATCTAAGTAGAGGTTCTCTTCTAGGGTTCATGGCCTCACCAGCCATGGGTCGGGGGTTAGGTTTATAATGCCAGCACGAAGTCCCATCCAATTAGATGGCTGGTGGTTGTCCCCAAGTGTGACTTGAACCCTTGCCACATCAATGGCATTGCTGTGCTTCCCAGGCACTCCAGCTGGGTAGCCAGCTCTTCATTGCTTTTCTCCCGTGTCAGCTTGCACAGTCTCTTTAGGTATTATGGGATAGTGATGCTTCCAGGTCAACTCTAGCTCTATTCCCTCAGGTTCTTTGTCTGAGTGTGTGTTTCCAGAATTAAGGTTTTCTTTTTGTCTCTGTGTCGTCACACACACTCTCTTTGTAACCCTTTGTCTCTCTGTCTCTTCCTGTGTCTGCCTCTCCATGCCTCATACACACTGTCAACCTCTTTCAGTCTCAGCCACAAATACACAGTTTCTCTCTGTGTCATACACACTCCCTGTCTCTGAATGTCAAATACCCACACTCTCTCTGTGTCTCTGCCAACCTCTACCTGTCTCTCTGTCACACACACTCTCTCTCTGTCTCTCTCTCTGTCACACATTCTGTCACACACCCACATACTCTCTCTGTCACACATTCTGTCTCTCTCTCTGTCACACACTCTGTCTCTCTCTGTCACACACTCTGTCTCTCTGCCTGTCTCTCTGTCACACACTCTGTCTCACTCTCTGTCTCTCTGTCTCTCTGTCTCTCTGTCTGTCACAATTCTGTCTCTCTGTCTCTTTGTCACACACTCTGTCTCTCTCTCTGTCTCTCACACTCTCAGTCTCTCTGTGTGTCTTACTCACACACCCTCTGCCTCTGTTTCTTTCTGTCACACACACAATGTCTCGTCTCTGTGTCACACACACTGTTTTTGTGCCTCACACACACTCAAGCTCACCCTTCTTTCTCTGTGTCTTTCTGTGACACACACACTAGTCA